CCTCGCTCTCCTCCCCCTCCCTCCCTCCCGAGAAGCCTCTCTTTATTGTGCTCCGCCATGATGCCTCGCTCCCATCAGCCGCCGGCGCCGCCACATGGTGCAGCCGGACGCGGCCCCGCGCCCGGGCCTCCCGCGCGGCTCCCCTTTCCTGCCCGCCTGGCGGGCGGCGCCCCCGGCACTCCCACCCGCAGGCTGGCTCCGGCGCGGCCTTGTGCCTCGAGGTTGGGCGCGGGGAACCACGCGGCCGGCCTCGCACGGGGCCTGGTCCAGCCCGGGGGATGCTCCGGCCGGACCCCGGGGCACTCCCCACGTGGGGTGACCACCCCATCGCGGTGGCGTGCTGAGAAACTTGGCGCGGGCGGCCAGGCTATCGAAGGGGCTTTAAAATGTGTATTTGGAAATCGTTTTAGCCCTTTTTGTAAAGGCTTTCGCAGTAGGGGGACTGCAAACCCCGGGATGGTTGCCGGAAATGAACCGCCCGATCAGGCTCTTTCACGCCCACTTAGGTTTGTAGATTTTGCAGCCCTTACCGGACAAAAAGGGCATCTTTTCCATAGCACCACGTCCTTTGCATCAGCTCCCTTCTATGCTTCGTAGTTTTCTGACTTAACGGTTGCTTCTTGTGAGTGCTCCACAATTGTGTGAGCCACATCTGAAACAAGCAGCCCACCGGAATTTGAGTTGGGGTGTAAGAAAGGTCAGATTCAAATCCTGGGGTTTCACCGTATTCTAGGAAGGTAAAATCGAGTGTTTACGACTGTGAAATAGTTACAAGTGTCTTTGTAGGTGTGTCTAATGTCTTAATTGTAATAGATACTGAACAGAATCTTTAACTTTCCAGAATAAGAGTTTACCATTGGTGGTGCCTTAATATTTATTACTGTCGCAATGTTCGTTTCTGTATTCTGATTAATAACTGGTATGATCCTTAAAATGTGTAAGATGATAAACAATAAGCATCAAGAATTCCTGAATAAAGTTACTGATTATTTTTCATAATAGAAACTTTAGTAATTGGTCTCTTCAGTAATGCAACTGTGGTGTACTACAGTCAAAAACATTTTCAATGTAGTGTAGCAGATTGAAAGATTTGAATGACTAAAAATTTGTCAACTGAATGCATGAACACGTGGACAACATGCTTTGTAGTAAGTAGACTTTTTTTTAATAGCTTTATTGAGATTTAATTTACATCATAAACTATTAACATCAGGAACACTGGTTAAATCTTTGAAATTGTGTTAGGAGAAACTGGTTAAATTTATCTTCTAATTAGTATTGAGCCTTATGCAACTTTTTCTTGCAGAAAAAGAACAGCAGGAAGCAATTGAACATATCGATGAAGTACAAAATGAAATAGACAGGTAACATTTTCTTTATTTACTTTGGAGGTGTTTTCTGAGATGCATTTAATGGCCTTAGTAGTCATTGAAACTGTGGTCAACTAAATCTGTATCCACTAGACGAGATGCTTATAACTTGGTTGGAAATACTGTGGAGATTTAATGTTATTTTTTTGTCAGTTTCTAGTCACCAAAAAAATATTCTGTTAAAGGTACATTGCCCTTGTAGAGATTGGGTTTGCTTTTAAAAGCTGCAAATTGTCTGAATTGAGTGTGTGGGCTTCTAATATTTGAGCATTATCACATCAGTGTTGCTCTGACTTGCCTAGGAGCTTAAGTTTATTTGACTGGGAGCATTATTAAAAATCCTGTTTAAGGAAAACAATTGAAGTTGACCTGGTAATAGTAGATGAAATAAACACACAATGTTACCAAAATGCTCAATTTGAGCAGTTTACAGCAAGAGTGGCATTATTGAGTTATGGAATAGCAGGTTGAACTACTTACCGAATACCATCATTGTTTTGACTTCTGAGTTTATGTAGTGACAAAAAACTAGGTTACATTGGTCTTTATAAATAGGTGCTTGGCACTGTTTTAAAGCTGATATGAGTAAATACTGAACTGTATAGCCTCACCAAGTTTTATATTTGTCAAATCTCATCATTGTTGATGTCTTTTCATCTGTTTCAGACTTAATGAACAAGCCAGTGAGGAGATTTTGAAAGTAGAACAGAAATATAACAAACTCCGCCAACCATTCTTTCAGAAGAGGTCAGAATTGATCGCCAAAATCCCAAATTTTTGGGTAACAACATTTGTCAACCATCCGCAAGGTATGCCCCACTCTCTTAAGTGGATGTAGAATAGTATTAATGAAAATATAAAATGTTAAGGCCTTAGAATGGAGGAATGTTGGTGAGGCTTTTGTCTGTTGTGTTTTTTTTGTTTGTTTGTTTGTTTTTGGTGGATACATGCTGACAGCTCTGAAGTATTTTCAGAGCCATTTGGTAATAGATTTATGGAAGCAAGGAAGCTCACTGAATCTGAGACATTTTGAAAAAGATTAAGTTGGTGGCTGATGTTTGCTGCTTAAAAGTGATTGATCTGTAATTTGTAGTGTCTGCATTGCTTGGGGAGGAGGATGAAGAGGCGCTGCATTATTTGACCAGAGTTGAAGTGACAGAATTTGAAGATATTAAATCAGGTTACAGAATAGATTTTGTAAGTATCAGTAATGCAGCTTGCCTGTGACATGGAAGTTAACGAGTTTTCATAGAGCTGTTTGTATTGCTTTCTTATACTCCCATTACTTATTACAGTATTTTGACGAAAATCCTTACTTCGAAAATAAAGTTCTCTCCAAAGAATTTCATCTGAATGAGAGTGGTGATCCATCTTCAAAATCAACTGAAATCAAATGGAAATCTGGAAAGGTATATTTTGAAGAGTTACTGGACAAAAATATTATTTTATATATTTTGGTTTAGTTGAGCCACTTAAAACTCTTGGTGCTTTGATAATGTGTAAAATACAAAAACTTTACTATAGGTTAAAACTCCAATGTGATAAAGTCAAATACAATAGCTTAGAGTTATTTTTATAAGTTGTAAGTAGGTTTAAGAATCAAACTAAGTTTTGGAGGTTTCCCTATTGGTGATTGAGTTATTTAAATGGTTTGCTATTTACCAAAATCCTTTTGTCTGCATTTAAGGGTGTAAGATGTATTTAAAACGATACTGTGGTGTAGTGGTTCTTTTCAAATGGACCTATTTTTATGCAGATGCCAAAATTAGTTGTTGCTACTTTTTTGTCAGGAAAAGCTTGTCATAAAATTTTGAAGACAACATAATCTTGTGGCTCTAGAATTTTAGAACTTCTTTTTACCCACTGTAGTTTTTATAGTTGCTCTTGAGCAGTAATAACAATGTCAACAACATGTACCTGTTTTTCTGCTTTTTTATTGGAAGTTTAGATGCTACAAAGAGCCTGTATCAATTTTTTTTATCATCTTCATTTAGGATTTGACGAAACGTTCAAGTCAAACACAGAATAAAGCCAGCAGGAAGAGGCAGCACGAAGAACCAGAGAGCTTCTTTACCTGGTTTACTGACCATTCTGATGCAGGAGCAGATGAGTTAGGAGAGGTCATCAAAGATGATATTTGGCCAAATCCATTACAGTACTATTTGGTGAGTTCTTGTATGTGTGATTAAACTATACATAATAAAGCACTGTTCCTTCATTTAAGGTTGAACTTGCCTTACTTGATTGAAAATGAGTTCCCAATGTAATTCTTGGTTTTCTTAAGGTTCCTGATATGGATGATGAAGAAGGGGAAGGAGAAGAAGATGATGATGATGATGAAGAAGAGGAAGGTTTGGAAGATATTGATGAAGAAGGGGATGAAGATGAAGGGGAAGAAGATGAAGATGACGATGAGGGAGAGGAAGGAGAGGTAAAAGAAAAACAAGCTGAATCCCAAAAGACTAGGATATTGATGTCCATTAGGAGCTGAACCAATTCTTCAAAGAATTCTCTGTTACTTCAGAATTACATATATTTGTATAATGAAACTGACCCAGAACTGATTGTTTGAGTGAAGATTTATAGAAAAATCAAGCCATTGGCTGTCTTAAGAATCAATGAAACTTTGATAATCTCGTGTTTAGTTCTGCTTTTTTGCAGGTTGGTTTTTATGGATACCTGAGCTTGTCTTTCTCTAATTAGTACAGAGCAGCAGCTTGTCAAATTCTGAGAAATGTTCTAAGTAAGAAAAATCTGTAAACTATGAAATTCTTGAATAGTAAGGTTAGATTTTTATTTCAGTTTGAATTCTTGGTCTGAAATAATGGCCAATGATTTGGTTAGTGCTGAAAAGTTACTAATTTATCTGAAACAACAGAAGTAGGTTTAACTTAGATTCTGTGCAGATTGATGTTCACATTCAGAAAATTGAGGCCCTTATAGTTTATCCTTATGTTTGGTCTTCACAGACTGCAGAGCATATGAAAGCTAGCGAGTGGCCTTCGAATTAAACTTGAAGACTAACCAACACATACTTGTTTTCTTACAGGAGGATGAAGGAGAAGATGACTAATAGAACACTGATGGATTCCAACCTTCCTTTTTTAATTTTCTTCAGTCCCTGGGAGCAAGTTGCAGTCTTTTTTTTTTTTTTTTTTTTTCCTCGTCTTGTGCTCAGTCGCCCTGTTCTTGAGGTCTCTTTTCTCTCCTTTACACCATGGTTCTCAACTTATTTTGGGGGGAAATAACCTTCAACGGAATACAGTGGGAAAAGAATCTCTACCCCTTTCTGTTCCAAATTAATTTTTATCCCTTCCTATTTGAACAAAAACTATGGAATCAACACACCACCGTGCTCTGTGGGAAAAAAGAAAACCCTTCTGCTCCCTTCGCTCTGCTGGAAGCTGGAGGTGCTAGGCCCCTGTGTAGTAGTGCATAGAATTCTAGCTTTTTTCCTCCTTTCTCTGTATATTGGGCTCAGAGATTACACTGTGTCTCTATGTGAATATGGACAGTTAGCATTTACCAACATGTATCTGTCTACTTTCTCTTGTTTAAAAAAAGAAAAAAAAAAAACTTAAAAAAAAATGGGGTTATAGAAGGTCAGCAAAGGGTGGGTTTGAGATGTTTGGGTGGGTTAAGTGGGCATTTTGACAACATGGCTTCTCCTTTGGCATGTTTAATTGTGATGTTTAACCGACATCCTTGCAGTTTAAGATGACACTTTTTAAAATAAAATTCTCTCCTAATGATGAATTGAGCCCTGCCACTCAATGGGAGAATCAGCAGAACCTGTAGGATCTTATTTGGAATTGACATTCTCTATTGTAATTTTGTTCTGTTTATTTTTAAAATTTTCTTTTTGTTTCACTGGAAAGGAAAGATGATGCTCAGTTTTAAACATTAAAAGTGTACAAGTTGCTTTGTTACAATAAAACTAAATGTGTACACAAAGGATTTGATGCTTTTCTCTCAGAACAGATATACGACCTCCAAGTTTGACATGTTTAACATCATTGTCAAACTTTGTTTATAACTTCGTATATTTTGATAAGCACTTTGCAGGATGACCTCAGGGCTATGTGGATTGTGTTAAAGGGATTTGAGTCAATATATTAAAAGGTTTCATAGCTGGGCTACGTTGGGTACAGTTTGCCATCAGGTTCTGAAAATATGCACATCATTGAAAATACTAGATTGTGCAAAACTCAGTATACGTACCTTCGATTTTTATCTCAAATTGACATTTAAGAAATAGGCCCTTCCTTACTGGATATAACAGTGCCTGCCACCACCATCAGACCTGGTGCTCTAATGCCAAGTTACAAGGAACAGTTGTTGGCATGTCTTCACTGGCACTGTGACATGTGCCTTAGAAGACCAAGCTCTCATAAGTCCGTGTTGGTGGTGAGAAACTCAGGAGTTTTTTTTGTTTGTTTGTTTGTTTTTGTTTCAAGTACCAGCTCTCCAGTATAAAGCTATCTCAAATGAGACTCAGTCTGTGAATCTGGGCGAGATGATGGACTCTGCTTGGTCTGCTAGATGCCATTGTGCATATAATAACAATTTGAGAAGCTACCTAATGCATAAGCTTTTTTAATGCTGTAAAATAAAGTAGCTAAATCAATGCCACTTAATGTTTTCAGAGATATGAATCAATGGCCAGCCCGGTCAAATTCAAAGCTTTTGATGTATGTATCTTTATAAATAAAGTATTCTATCAAGAGGCAAAGTGTAACAAAACCTGTTTAGATGGTTAGTATGTAACTTCTCTGCACAGGTCTCAGTAAATACATCACTGTACCAGTCAGGAATCTTGCTCCAATAAAGGAACATAAAAGATTTTTGACTGGGATTGTTCTCCTTGCTTTGTAGAGAGAGATCATTTGCTTTTAGACTTAGATGGTGGTACACTTGAGGGTTTTTTTTGCTTGTTACTTCATCCTTAGTGATGGGGGAAGGGAGGCAAGGTGGTGGGAAGACTCTAGATACATCTGAAAAGACTTCAACTACATGAATGTATGTGGAGGTGTTTGAGATGGTCAATCTAAAAATCACAGACAAATTGCTGTTATGTGGACTGGTGAGTAAACAGTTGGGTTTTTAAAATGTTTCTCAGTATTTAAAGGGTTTTCAGTAGGAAAAAATCTAAACACCCATTGAATAAGGATGGGGTTCTGTGTCACAAAAGTTACAGATTATCACAACTGGGAGTTTTATGTACCAGTTACATTGTAGGGCTGTTAGGTTTTGTCACATTTAAGGAAATTTTATGATCTGATTAGTTGGGAGTTCTCTAAGGTCATAGTTTGCCCCATACACAATATTCTAGACTGCCTCGTATCTGCAAATCTTGTAAAAGCACTAGACTATGAGGAAGCAATGAGATAGCCTTTAAAAAAAATCGTTACAGAATAGCTAGAGTACTTTGCCCAATTGCAAGGGGACTTCTTGAACCAACTTACAAGCAAGTGTATTGAGAAAGGTGGTGGGAATGAGCGAGAGCACCTTTGTTCAGACATTTGAAAAAGAAGCCAATGTGACTGTTGGGTGGATTTTGTGGGAAGGAAGGCATGGTTTGTGTGTGTGTGATTGGGGTGAAATTTTACAGAGCAAATTAGGAGGTATGGCTTTAAAGGTGTGCTGTACACATGAGGGGAATTTAAAACTACATGAATTGGGAAGATAAGTAAGTTGTAATGTGTCTTTAAATTTAGTTCAAAAACTTCCATGTTCTTCAAACTCCCTGCAGTTGTTGAGGTTACTTGTTTCTCCAATGATGTCCTAATTGCAAAACATGTAATTGGATCCCCACCACCATAACAGGGCAGCACCCTCTATATTTTACCCAACTCTGGCTCTTAAGATGTTAGTGGTCCATGGAGTACCTGTGCTTTGTTTGGCTGACAAGTTTGCTTTACATCTGGCTGGTTGGCTTTACTTGTGTTAGTTGCTCAGCAGTGACTACTTTTAAATATATGGCTGTGCTTATAAAGGCATACAAATTTAGTTTTTAACAGATCTGAGGAAAAGGACTGCTTTTTGTGATCAGAACAAGAATAATGACAAAGCTGAAAGTGGAAGGTGTGTGTCAACGTGATTGGTGACATTGTACATGCACTCAGATTCTACCCAAGAAAGGCAAATCTAAATGTGGATGGACTGATGTTTGCAATACTAAGAAAGTGTAGAGGAAGAGGAAAGTGTTAATTGAATGTAGCCGGCTAGGAAGTTTTAGATTTCTTTCAGGTTGACTGCATTGTCCTTAACAGTGAAATCACTGGAGAATTGGTTTGCATTGTTCACCATCCACTAGATGTTGGACACGAACTTCAGTTGTCCTAACAATTAGAGTTCTGTGAATTAATTGCCGTCAGTCACAACGCACAGCTCTCTGGTCAGACTTCATCCATCAGCCCAAGGCTTGAGACCATGGGAGCTTTGCTTTATAGTCCAGCCCTGAGCATTAGGAAAGAGAAGTGAATGGGTTCTGTTACTTCTGAATGTCTTTCCCTTAAGTGACATGTGAAGCAGTGAAACAGTTCACGGCAAGCCTGGAAAACCATCTTGAGCTCTTACTCCACATAATTCCGCTTCCTGGCTGCAGGGAGTGGATAAATGATCCTAGAATGGGCAACACCCTCCTTGGGAGAGTTGAATCAGGTAACCCATTTGGCTTGCGGAAGTGACATCCACCCAAGTCAAATAGGTACCTTTAAGTGTTGGTTGGCTCAATTGCATTATTGGATAATTCCTGAAAGGGGGAATCTTGCTAGTTTGATTCAAGGGTTTCTCTCAAATTTATGAACTGCTAAGCCGAAACCGTTTTTATTTGTGAATTATAGATAATTAACATTCAGCTCAGGATATCTTTATCCCCCATTTTAGAGTGTTATTACCTACAGCCGGTAATTAAGTATGTACTAAGGGGCCTTTCCCCATCGGTGTCCGCCTCTGAGTTCTCTGCCCGGTATCGCTAGAGAACCACGACCAGAGAAATGTCTCATTCTGCGCTTTCCATTCCGGGGCGAGGGGTCACTAAACAGGGAACTGCGGCCTCAAGAGGGTGCACTGGTTCCAAAATCCCCCTCGGGGAGGGGCTGGGGCCTCGGATTTCAGGAGTGGGATCTGGGTCGTTGATCCCGCGCGGCCGAGAGGCGGCGCTGATCCCAACCAAGGTCTTTGGAGAGCCAGCGGATCTCGGGAGGGGGCGCCCGATCTCGCTTCTCCTGAGCCGCTTCCCGGGAAGTTTCAAGTTTGAAAGTCCTGGAAGAGGGGCTGGAGCTTCCGGAACCGGAGTGGTGGAGAGGAAGGGCCCCGCTCGGCGCCATGGAGAAGGGGGCGCCGCGGCAGGTGAACTGCACTCAGAAAGGCTGGGCCGCGGGCGGGGGGCGAGGGGATGCGGGGAAAGCTCCGGCCGCGCCTCAAGCCCTGCCCCCTAAATCTGCAGCCCTTCCCAGCCCTTGACCCAGGTTCCGCTACATCTTTGCAGCGAAGACCTGAGCACTCGGTTAAATCGCTCATGTCTCGGGAAATTTCCCTAAACCAGCCAAGAGGTGACTCAGAGCCTCTAGACAGGCCAGCCCATGAGCACGTCTGAATCCGCAATCAGGGCCACCTGGATAGGCCCCAAAGTTTTCTAAAATCGGTTCTTCCAAGAGGGACACCAAGGTTGATGGGAATTAGCCGGGGAAAGTAAAGGGAGTCTGTGTGGGTACTTGGGGAGGGGTCATGAGGGTGAAGAGGCTGTGTGTGAGTGGAGAGGGGTCCCAGAAGGGAGTCAGTCTGCGCACCTGTAGGGTCCTTCCGCGAGCACTGGAGACTCGCGGAGCGTACCGGAGGGGAGGTGTCTAGCCTAGCGCCGGGGCGGAACCTCCGGGCACACGGAGGGCTTTCAACCGTGAACGCGGAGGACAGCGTAGTTCCAGCCCAGAGCTGGCCGTCAGGGCGCGTAGGCACAGGCAGCCAAGGCTGTGTGTGCTTTTGGTATTGGGGAGTGAAACTAGGAGGGGTCCTAGCCCAGAGCTAGTGGAGGTGGAGGTGGTGGTGGTGGTGGGAGGGACCCTGTATATGTAAGGTAGGATCCCAGCGCAGAAGGTGCCCTAGGCAGGACGACTCGAACTCCCCCCAGCCCGCTCGCTTGGGGAGCCCTCAAGGCTGCGTCCATCCCTCCCGTCCCCCTCCTCCGGAGTCGGGCTGCTGGTTCCAGCGGTGGCTTGTGCACATTTTCCGATTTCCTGCGAGCCTCCGCCCAGCAGCGGCAGGGTGACTCAGGACCCCAGTGGCCAGGCCTCCAGCTCCATGGGATCTTTGTTTGCTCAGGCCTTTGGCTCTGGCCCTCTCGCCTAGGGCGGTCAAAGGATTTCCTGAACCTCGCCCCTGCCCTCTAGAGCCAGGCCGACCCAGCGGGCCCAGGACACGCCTAGGGTGGGGACCCTGAGGCTGAGGTGGCTACCCCTTCCACGGGGCTCAGGAGATGGAGGGGCAGAAGGTAAGATGGGGAGTGTAGGGGGCCCTGTGAGTTCCTGGTGGTGTGTGTGGGGGGTGTCACCAGTTTCTGTGGGCTGAGGTCAGCTTTGGCACGGGTTGGTTTGAAATGGCCTCTGGGAAGGTTTTCCTCTCCCTTGCTCCAGCCTGGGGTAAAGTAGTGGAAGAGCTTCCTTCTTTTCCCAGGAGCCCTAGAACCTTCCTCAGCTCCTCTCTGTGCCTCTGTTTACCACCTGTGGCATTAGGGTGTCAGAGGAACAAACCCCGATCTCTTACTCAGTCCTCTGACTGCCTTCTCCATGTGACCTTGACACAACCCTTCTCAGCAATGAGCCTCTTTTTTCATCTGCCTTGGCTCCCAAATAGACAGAAGGCAGCCTGATAAGGGTGGCTGCCTGGGAGAGGCTGGGGCCCAAGAGACGGCAGCATCTCCTTCTGTGGATTGTGAGCTTGGGCATGTTACTTAACCTTTCTGTGTCTTAGTTTCCTCGTTTGTAAAATGGGGATAATAACTGCACCTACCTTGTGGGGTTGCTGTGAGGGTTAAGGAATTAGTATATGTAAAGCTCTTACTACAGAACCTGGCACCCAGCAAGCACCATCTAAGCATTAGCTATTTTTATCCCTCACCCTTTTCTCTTTCTGAACAGCAGAGGACAGGAAAGTGAGCTGGAGAAGTGACTTTTCAGGTACCATGTGACTTAGGGATACTGAACTCTAAAGTCAGAGAAGCTTCTCAAACCCGGTGTTGGTCCTGGGTACCTTTCTCTCTATGTATCTGATGTTGTTGTTGTTATGTGCCATCGAGGCAGCCCTGACTCATAGCAATGCCTCTTTGGGTTGCCGAGGCAGTATCACTACGGAAGTAGATTGCCCAGTCTTCCGAGGAGTGGCTGGTGGGTTTGAGCCACCAGCCTTCTGGTTAGGAGTCAAGTGCCTTAGGCACTATGCCACCAGAGCTCCTTATATCTGATATCCCTATGGCTGTTTGTAGGGGCTGCATGGTGAGACTTCTCTGCTTTTCTGCAGCCTGGGGCAGACCAGCGGCCTCTAGAAGATGAGAAAGAGCTGATCCGCCGGGCCATCCAGAAGGAGCTGAAGATCAAGGAGGGTATGGAGAACCTGAGGCGTGTGGCCACGGACCGCCGCCACCTAGGCCACGTGCAGCAGCTGCTACGGTCCTCTAACCGTCGCCTGGAGCAGCTGCACGGGGAGCTGCAGGCACTGCACGCGCGTATCCTGTTGCCCGGCCCTGGGCCTGGCCCAGCTGGTGAGTGAGGCATGTAAACAGCCTGCTTGTGACAGGAGGCACCAGACCAAGCCAGCTCCTGGGCCTTGCCCTTGGCCACTGTGTGGCCCCAGGCAGGTTGCCTTACCCCTCTGCGCCTCCTCAGAGTATCTCCTGCTGATGCTCCTCAGGAGGTGACAAGGAGAGGCAAGATCTAGGCTCTGGGTGAAGGGTTCATGTTCCCTACACTCCCCGTGCACAGAACCTGTGGCTTCAGGACCCCAGCTGGAGGCAGAGCAACCAAGGGCTCGGCACCTGGAGGCTCTCCGGAGGCAGCTGCAGGTGGAGCTGAAAGTAAAGCAAGGGGCTGAGAATATGACCCACACATGTGCCAGTGGCACCCCCAAGGTAAGGCCCCTGAGGTCTGATGGGAGAGTTGCAGTCCCAGCCTCCAATCCGATGGGAGAGGCATGGCTCTCAGATCATACAGGGAGGTGCAGCTCCAATCCCTATTCTGATAAGAAAATGCAGGCAGTTTGTAAAGGAGACACAGTCCCAATCCTTAGTCTGATAGGAGAGGCAGAGTCCCAAGTTCCAGTTTGGTGGGGAAGGTATGGTTCGAATCCCTCGTCTAATAGAGAGGGTGCAGCACTGGTCTAATACAGGAATCCAGCCTAAGTCCTCAGTCTGCTGGTGAAGGCACAGCCCAGTCCAGCTTCCAACATGATGGGAGCTCAACTCCAGACGTGTTTTACAGGCGGGGCTTAGCTCTGGCTCTGATGTGATGAGGGTGGCTTGGCTCCAACCCTGATCTGATGGGGGAGACGTGACCTCAGCCCTGGTCTGGTCTCACAGGGGAAGCTTGACCTCAGCCCTGGTTGTGTCTAATGCAAGGCTTGATCCCAGCCCTAGTCTGGTCTAATGGGAGGCTTGGCTCCAGTGCTCGATCTGATGGGGAGCCTTTGGTGCAGCCCTGGTCTGGTGTAACGGGGGCCGCTTGGCTCCAGTCCCTGATCTGAGGGGAAGCCTTGGGCCCAGCCCTGGTCTGGTGGAGCATGTTATGACCCTCTAGGAAAGGAAGATCCTGGCTGCTGCCCAGCAGGTGCTACGGGACAGCCAGCTGAAGGTGACCCTGCTGCGGATGAAGATCAGCAGCCTGGAGGCCAGTGGGTCTCCTGAACCAGGTGAGGCCTGGAGGAGCCGGGATGGGCAGGACAGGGCAGGACATGAGCCTGAGGGCCTGGAAGGATCCTGACTGGCTCTCGGCTCCCCAGGTCCTGAGTTGCTGGCAGAGGAGCTGCAACATCGGCTGAGGATTGAAGCGGCTGTGGCTGAGGGTGCGAAGAATGTGGTGAAATTACTTGGCAGCCGGCGAATGCAGGACCGAAAGGCGCTGGCCGAGGTCAGCCCATAGCCCCCTCTTCTTTTTGCTTCCTTCCAAGGGTCAGCATGTTCCCATACCTACCTCTACAGTGGTGGGAGGCACCACTGGACTGGCCATGTGAGGAAACTGGAGGCACATTCTGTCCATTCATCGGGGGCGAGGCCTCAAGGTGGCCTGGCCTGCTGTGCCCACCTCCTGTGCTCCATGGGTTGGCCCTGCCTCTGTCCTCTCCTGTAGGCCCAGGCCCAGCTCCAGGAATCCTCACAGAAACTGGATCTTCTGCGGCTGGCCTTGGAGCAGCTGCTGGAGGGATTGCCTCCTGCCCATCCACTGCGTGGCAGTGTGGCCCGGGAGCTACAAGCTCCTGTGCCTAGAAACCTTCAGCCTTCGAGGACACTTGTGAAGCCCACTGCCCTGACAGGTAGCCAAGAGTCCTGTCCCCTTCAGAGCTCTCCTCTTGCTCGGAGGACCCTGGGGCATGGTGGGGAAAAATTTCGGAGAAGAGTTCTTGTATTCTGTGTGACCTTGGTTAACGGACATCCCTTTGGACCTTAGTTTATCCATCTGTAAAGTGGGTAGAATAGCACCTGTCTCATAGGATTGCTGTGACAATTTAGGGAGTTATTACATGCAAGATGCCAAGCACAGTGCTTGGCTCAGCATTCCATCAGCATAGTTGTTATTTAAATTAGTAACCACAATAATGGTCAAAACGCCAGTGTTAGGGAAACTCACAGCCCTGGATGCCTTGGTTCCCAATCCTGGGCAGCTTAGACAGTTAGAATGTTCGTTCTTATCCCCCTAGCTGAGCTCTGTCTCTTTGGTAGCTGCAGCTGAATTGCAATCAGCAGATAATCTGAGGACGCTGACTTTGAAGGCCTGAGCTTCCCAGCTGGGCTACAGTGTGAACTAGGGAGCCCAGCCCTTTTCTGCACAGAACATTAGTGCAGTGGCAGACAGGCCATACTCTATTGTGAGCAGAGCTGAGAAAGAAAGGGAAGTTCACGGGCTGGATGGGTCCCTCCTCTGGCCTTGGGGGATCAGAGAATGATTCCTGGAGGGGCTAGTGTCTGAGTTTGGTCTTAAAGGACGTGTGAGAGTTGTCTAGGTAGACAAGTTGGGGAAGATAGAGGGGATAGCCTGTTAGAAAGCCTGGAATTCAGCTATGTGGGGCCACCCCATATCCTGTGTCCTGGTTTTTAGAGACCCCATTTCCTCTAAGCATTCTTCCTAAGATGGTTTTCCCACCCTGGGCATCAGCCTTTGTTTACAAGATCTCTCTGACTATAGTCCCCGGACCTGAACTCTCTAAATAGTGCTTTTGGGCCCAGTTGATGTCCTCAAAAGCTGCTTGATTCCCACTGCTTCTTAAGAGACAGAGCTGTGATGACCCTCAAAATGAGCCCACACAAAATGTGTATTGTAACCCTTGTGAGAGGTGGGCAGAGCTAGGACTCATCTGCACTGTATAGATGGGAAAACTGAGGCCCAGGGAGAAAGTGGGACAGGAAGCCAGGCCTCCTGCTCCCTGCCCCAGGCTCTAGGCCCTGAGCCCTGGTCACCTCATCTCATTACATGCTATGGCTTCATGTGGCCTGGGCTGAGGTCTGAGCCTCTGGGCCCCCTGCCTGTGTCTTTGCTGCCCCTGATACGTGAAGAGTATTTAGGAGGCGGTGCCAGATGATCTGCCCTGAGGATGTCAGGGGATGCCAAGCCTAATGTGGGTGGGGTCTGAGTTCAGCCACTTTCGGAGAAGCTGCCATACCTGGGACCCATTGGTGGTGACGATGGAGGATGGCACCTCCCCATGCACTGTCCCCATGTCCACCCCACAGGGACATTGCAGGTCCTCCTCTTGGGCTGTGAGCAGCTGCTGACATCTGTGCCTGGACGTTCTCCTGTGGCTGCACTGGCCGGGAGCCCCTCCGAGGGCTGGCTTTGGGCCAGGGCCAAGCAGCAGCGTGGCGGGGGTGAGCTGGCCAGTGAGTAGGGGGCTGCAGAGAACTCTGGGGGGCAGCCTGGAACTGTGCTCACGGCCTGCCCTGAGCCCTGCCTCTGGCCTTGCAGATGAGGTGCTGGCCGTGCTGAAGGTGGACAACCGTGTTGTGGGCCAGACTGGCTGGGGGCCAGTGGCCAAGCAATCTTGGGACCAGACCTTTGTCATCCCCCTGGAGCAGGTAAGGCTGGCCTTGTGAAGTCAGGGGTACCCTTGGGCCATGAGACATAAGGTTGACCAAACAGGGGCTAGTTCTGTGACCCCCTCCTCCAAATGGCCCTTCCCTATTTAGGCTCGTGAGCTGGAAATCGGGGTGCACTGGCGGGACTGGCGGCAGCTGTGTGGTGTGGCTTTCCTGAGGCTTGAGGACTTCCTGGACAATGCCCGTCACCAGCTCTCCCTCAACCTGGTGCCTCAGGGGCTGCTTTTCACCCAGGTACTCATTACCTCCTGCCCTCTGACCTGGTAGGTCCCTGAGTCCATCAGAGCTAGAAGAGCCTGAGACTGTGTGACCCACCCACGTATAGATGTGGGAATGGAAGTCCAGAGGAAGGCAGTTTCTAGGAAGGCAGGATTCTCAGCTCCTTTCTGGGGGCAGTGGAGAGAGCACTGCACAGTAATATGGGAACTCTTGTTCCTGTCCTAACTGTCCTGCCCTGAGTGTGACCCTGGACAAGTGCTTCTCTCTCTGGCCTCAGTTTGCCTACTGAGACCAATGAAGGCATAGACTCTGTCTCTGACCCCTTCTGGCTCTTGCATCTGTTGGTGTTGGGGGTCATACTAGGCCGAGGCGATACCACGGCAGTCAGGTTGGAGAGGACTGGTCCTAGTCCCGGCCCCCTGCCCCCACAGGTGACCTTCTGTGACCCCGTCATTGAGAAGAGACCTCGGCTACAGAGGCAGAAACGCATTTTCTCTAAGCGCAGAGGTGCAGGGGGGCCAGGGCTGTGCATGCAGGGAGCAGGGCTGGGCTCTCAGGGTTTCCAGGACTGAGCCCCTCCTTTGTTCCTCAGGCCAGGACTTCCTGAGGGCTTCCCAGATGAACCTCAGCATGGCGGCCTGGGCGCACTTAGTCATGGAACTTCTGCCCCCCTGCAGCTCCCCAAGCACGATCAGCCCCCCTAGAGGCTGCCCCCAAACCCCAACCACACCTCGGGAGGCCGCTGACCCAGCCGCCTTCAGGTGCGGAGCAACCTTGCCCCAGCTACATGCTTCTCTGTGGCGTCCACCTCTCCCCAGGTTCAGTCTTTGTCTGTCAGTCTCCATTGCTCTTTCTCCAACTGTCCTCTCTTTCTTTCTCTGCATGCCAGCCATTCCATCGGCCATGTGTCTGTTTCTGCCCCACAGTAATTTCCCACCCAGGAAATCCCCCTCGGGAGAAGAAACAAAGCCCCCACCCAAGCCTCCACGAATTTACCTGCCCCGGGAACCCACCCCTGAGGAGACTCCGGTGAGGGGCAGAAGGAGGGCTGAGCTGTATAGTTCCTGGGGTTGGGGGGCGGAAGCATGGCTAGGGGGAAGGGGAAAGAAGCCCAGCTAGGCCCTGAGCCACTCTGTCCTCACAGTGCACCAAGCGCCCCCACATGGAGCCCAGGATGGGATTTGGATCATCTCTACCAGCCTCACCCACCAGGTACCCTGATTGAGACATTTATCCCCTTACTTGAGCACATGTATATGTGTCCATTCAGTCATCAATCTGATGTTCCTTGACATATCACTGACTTGGCTGCAGGTTCTTACTCTCTGAGCCCACGTTATTGAGCTCCAGCTGTGTCCCAGACCCTAGGAAACTGCTATCCTAGGACCAACAAGGCTCTCCAGCCCCTGTCCTGTGAACCCCATAGGTGGGGACTGGAAATAGAGGGTTTGGAGGACCCAGCCATTGTCCTAGGGGTTTCCTGTGCCTTTTCTCTCTTTCAGGAAACCCCCCCGGCTTCAGGACTTCCGCTGCTTGGCTGTGTTGGGCCGAGGTCACTTTGGGAAGGTAGTGGGCTAAGGAGGGAGCAGGACACTGGGATTCTGTGGGGAGAGTGGATGGGGGAAGTAAAGGCTCAGGTGGGCTTCCTTGCTGTACACCTGGGCCCATCTTTCTCTGTCCCTAGGTCCTCCTGGTCCAGTTCAAGGGGACAGGGAAATACTATGCCATCAAAGCGTTGAAGAAGCAGGAGGTGCTTGGCCGGGATGAGATAGAGAGGTGTGTAGTGGGTATGTGCCTTCCCCCGGCACCTGGACCCAGAGAGCATCCAAGACGGCTGGGCCCAGGGCCATGGGCATCCAGAAGGCAGCTGAAGGCTTGTGGGGCTTAGGAGAGATGACCCTGTTGGGGTTGAGGGTACAGGCTCTGGGACCAGCCTGTAATTATTAACTGTGTGCCCTTGATCAGGTTTCCTCTTCTCTTTGAAGCTGAGTTTCCTCATCTATAAAATGGGGGCATTAGTGGTTGTGTGGCTTTAGTGACCCACGTGAGCTCTGATATACAGAAGCCATCACTCCACCTGCCTGGCCCTTTGACTGAGGACCCAGTGAGCTGCAGTGTCATGTGGGTGGCAGGGTGTGGCCAACAGAGCTTTTCTGTCCCTCTAAGACCCATGCCCTGCCCTGCAGCCTATACTGTGAGAAGCGGATCCTGGAGACTGTGGGCCACACTGGGCACCCCTTCCTGCTCTCCCTTTTTGCCTGCTTCCAGACCCCCAGCCACGCGTGCTTTGTGACTGAGTTTGCGCCTGGAGGAGACCTCATGATGCAGATCCATGAGGATGTCTTCTCTGAGCCCCAGGCCCGGTGGGTTCCCATCCCTTTTGCCTGGTTCTACCAGCAAGTTTTACCTTCACCCAGCGCCTTCATGGTAGTGAGTTTGGTTTTGGTTTATTATTGCATAGATGATAATTAAAAAATCAATAAATAAAAGAACAAAAAAACAAACTCACTGCCATCAAGCGGATTCCAACACATAGTGACCCCCATTGGGTTTCTGAGGTGGTAAATCTTTATGGAAATAGATTGCCCCATCTTCCTCCTGCAGAGCGGCTGTTGGGTTTGAACTGCCAGCCTTCCGGTTAGCAGTCAAATTCCCTAGGCACTGCACCACCAGAGCTCCTTGTAGAAGAGATTATGCACTGCCATCGAGTCGGATCCGACTCATAGTGACCCCTCCTTGGGTTTCCGAGGCAGTATCACTATGGAAGTTGATTGCCCAACCTTCCTTCTGGGGAGTGGCTGGTGGGTTTGAACCTCCAGCCTTCTGGTTAGCAGTCAAGTGCCTTAGGCACCATGCCACCAGAGCTCCCGTACATGAGATTAACATTCATAAATTACTCAGTACAGGGATAGGAACAGGAAGTACACGATGAATGGCAGCTGGAACCATCTTTATCCACCAGAGTATAGGCTCTGGAGCTGGGAAGACCTGGGTTCGCACATCAGCTTTGCCACTAACTGTGTGACCCAGGACAGGTCACTTACCTGGACTATCAGATCCTTATCTGAAAAATAAGCATGATCATGGCCCCAACTCTCAGTGTTTGAACCCAGACAGGGTGGGCTGTTAGTGTACAACCTTGGGATGGTTGTCTGGAAGAGTCCTTCCAACCCAGGCATGAGGTTCATTTCAGTCTCTATCACCCACACTTGACCCTGGCTGGGGCATCAAAGGGTTCTCCAGGCCATGCCATCCAGGTGCCTCCCTGTCCTACTCCCCACAGTCCTGATTCTCCCCCATACCCCTCAAGGTTCTACTTGGCTTGTGTGGTCCTGGGCCTGCAATTCTTACATGAAAAGAAGATCATTTACAGGTAACTATAGGTGTGGTTGCTGCCTCACTGGCTGCTCTGGGGGCTGGCTGTGTTCTTTGGGGGCTGAGCCCTTCTCAGCCACTGTGATCTGTCCCCTTGCCTCCAGAGACCTGAAGTTAGACAACCTCCTGTTGGATGCTCAGGGGTTCCTGAAGATTGCAGACTTTGGGCTTTGCAAGGAAGGTGGGTGCTACCTGTGCAAGATCCCATGTCCAGCCTTGCCCACCCAGCCTGGGAGGGTGCACAGTAGGTTAAGTGGCATCACCCTGGAAGTCTCCTCCCCACTGATACCTACCCAGGATGGTTCCCCAACCCTGGCCCTAGGGAATAGCTGGGCTTGTTGGTCTTAATTTCCCAGCCCCAGAGGCTCTTAAAAAAAGAGACCAACCTAGCTTGCCTTTGGCCAGAGAGGGTGATGGTCAGGGCTGGGAGAAACACTGGGTTGTGTTTCCTGTGTGACCTTGCCATGTGAGCTTGGCCCTCTGAGACTCTAGCATCAGAAGGGCTGGCTGGTGCTTCTTACAGCCACAGAGGTCATTATGAACAGTGCACAAGGCAGACATCCAGTGTGGATGTTGGTTTTACAGGGATTGGCTTTGGGGATCGGACAAGCACCTTCTGTGGCACCCCAGAGTTCCTGGCCCCTGAGGTGTTGACCCAGGAGACCTACACGCGGGCAGTGGACTGGTGGGGGCTTGGCGTGCTGCTCTATGAGATGCTGGTGGGCGAGGTGACTGTTGGACCAGGGCTGCTGGACCCTCTAGGTTGGGAGGGGTGGGGCCACCCCTGTACCCTGCTGAGCCCCCATCTCCACAGTGCCCGTTCCCAGGAGACACCGAGGAGGAGGTGTTTGACTGCATTGTCAACAAGGATGCTCCATACCCCGGCTTCCTGTCTGTGCAAGCACTTGAGCTCCTGCTGAACGTAAGCACCGCAGGGCCCAGGGCTGAGGTGGATAGCTGCTTGTGGCTCTCATGCCCTCTGCTCCTGGGCCCAGCTCCCTTGGGTGCCTGGGAGGTAGGCAGGACTGGGGCTTGAATGCCTTCAGTAAGCACTGCCCTCTCCCAGCTTCTTCAGAAGTGCCCAGAGAAGCGCCTGGGGGCGGGTGAGCAGGATGCCGAGGAGATAAAGGCACAGCCTTTTTTCAGGGTGAGTGGCCAGGGAGGCTGGGGAGCCAGTCCCCGGCCAGGGTGGGAGGTGCGGAATGAGTCCAGGCCTGTGGCTCCCATCTCAGAACCCTTTAACCCTTACCCTCAGGCCACAGACTGGCAGGCCCTGCTCTCCCGCACCGTCCAGCCCCCCTTCGTGCCTACCCTCTGTGGCCCTGCAGATCTGCGCTACTTTGAGGGCGAGTTCACGGGGTTGCTGCCTGCCCTGACCCCGCCTGACCCCCGAAGCCCACTCACTGCCCGCCAACAGGCTGCCTTCCGGGACTTCGACTTTGTGTCAGAGCAATTCTTGGAGCCCTGAGGGCCTCTCCCAGCATCACTGTTCCCCGGACTGTTAGAACCGCTGTGCACCCACTCATGTGCTCATGAGTGGAAGCCCAGGCCTTGCCTGGTATTTATGAGCCATTTGGACTTGAGTTGCAGCAATATGGGGCTGCTCTGTTGTGGGGTCCGCTCAGTGCCATTGGGCTGGTTGCTCCCTGCTTCCCCTCCTGTCTTCCAATGAGATGGACCAGAAGGATGCCACAGGAGTGGTTTGGTTTATTTTTTTTAATACTCAACTTGCTTTATGGATTATTAAATTTGTAAAACTACACTGGGAGGCAGCTTGGCTCAGGGGGCAAATGGAAGTCTCAGAAGCCAGGGGTCAGAGCATCCCATTGGTCCTCTCATTCTCCTTCCTTTGGAAGGCCGAGCTGCCCACTGAGGCAGAGGTTCTGTCCATATGCTCTGCTCTGAGGCCTAGGAGGAAGTGGGCAGGAGTGAGGAGCCCTGGGCCCTCTGAGCGTAGACCCTGCTGGGTGGAGTCCCTCTGGTTTCAGGCACAAGATGGCGGCTCTGCCTCCAGAAACCCTAAACAGCCTGGTTGCTGCCCTCCTCTTCCCCCTCAGCCCATAGGGTCTCCCAGGACCCTGAGGGCCATCCACAGAAGAAGTGGGCCAGGTTGCGGATCAGGCCACGGTCGAAGGGGTTGATGGAGCGTTGACGGAGGTAGGCAATGCGGTGCGAGGAGATGAACTCCCAGGTGGTGGTGTTGCTGGCCACAAGATAGAGGTGTGAGGCCAGGAGCAGGCCAGCCACTGACGAGAAGAGAGATAGCAGCAGGAAAGTGGCAAACAGGAGCCCGTTGGACCGCAGCCACAGCCCCCAGGGCTGGAAGAACCGGAGGCCAGACCTGCAGGACGGGTGGGGTCCCAGAGCTGGTGGGTTGCAGCAGTGCTACTCCCTCCCTCCCTCTGCTGAGCCCTGAGGAGCCTGAGTGAACAAGCCATTTGGGAGAGAGTCTAAGGGCTGTGAAGAGCCAAAGGAGACCTGGACTTGTGTATACCTTGTGGACACAGGCTGCCAACCCGCCCTGGTATACCCCCAGGGCTGTGGCAGTGCCTACCATGCCAGGTACAGGGCCCACAGAAGCACCACCAGTTGCAGTGCCAGGTAGGTCACGAAGAGTGGGTGGTTTCGCTCCCCCACGCAGTTCTCCATCCAGGGGCAGTGGTGGTCATAGCGGCGGACACAGTGGTGGCACTCACGGCAGTGCCGGGCCCTCAGTGGCTGCTGTGGGTATTGAGGGGAGGCGGAGCTCAACACTGCATCCCCTGTGTGCCCACCAGCGGGGAGAGGGGAAGGGTTAGGGGTCCAGCTTGAATCTGGAAGGCCTTCTGGGAGAAGGAATGAGACCACAGCTTAGCCCTGAGACCAAGGCACTGGGGCAAGAAAACATCAGGGAGTCTCAACCTTATGCCAGCCCCTCCCAGGGGGTCTTGCAACACCCACCAGCACCAGGCAGTATCTGCAGCGCCGAAGGGGCATGGCCTGAGGAACCATGGCCGTCTGCTCCTCCTTGGGCTCCTCCTGAAAATGTGGGGGGCGGGGAGAGGCAAAGCTTAAGATGGGATCCCCTTGGGAGGCAGATGGCATCGATGGCTATCTCCCTTGCGACCCAGCTTTTCTGGGTGCGGATAGTTTGGGGCTTATTCCATGAGGAATGGAGGTGGTGAGGTGGGGTCAAGTACCCTGGTTAAGGCAGGCTGTGTGACCTCTGCAAGTCACTTGTGCTCTCTGGGCCTTGATTTCCTCCTTGTAAGATGGGGTTTTAGCTGGTGTAGGACCCACCCGCCACTCCTCTGAAGGAAGGTTGGGCAATCTACTTCTGTAGTGATACCACCTCAGAAACCCAAGGAGGGGTCGCTATGAGTCACGTCTGACTCGACAGCACATAACAACAACAGGGCTGGCAAAGAGGATTCATTGAGATGAATCCTCACGAAACCCTTGGTACAGCTTGGCATGTAGATGGTTACTGGGGTCCTGGTCCCCTATTGCTGGGAGGAGGAATTCAGGCCCCCAGTGACCCCCTGGTTACCTGGAGTTGGGGCTGAATATTCACATAGCCCGGGTCCATGAGCGACACAGCCAGGTAGAGCAGCAGGGAGCCCAGCACCAGGAGGAGGAAGGTGAGGGGCAGGAGCATCTCCCCCTGCTCTTCCCATTGTCGCAGCTCTGGAGAGGCCAGAGGAGAATAGTGAGGCTGGGGCCAAATGGAAGGGTGTAGGGATAGGCAGGTGGAGGTGGGCAAGGGTGTTTTGGCTGAGCAGAGGCCTGGAGATGGAGTTCAAAGAGTGGTCAGGTGTGGCCCTAGCACAGGGCCCACAAGAGAGAAGCTGGGACACAGCAAAAAAATAAAAAAATAACAAAGCAGTGTGTACCTTATCTGGAGGATAATAGGGAACCACTGAAGGTTATAGGGGCAGATTTGTGCAGCCCTTCTGCTGCTAGAGAGATGGATCAGGGGGAGCCTGGGGGCAGAGAGGCCTGTGCAGGCAGGAAAGGAGGGTGGCTGACCAAGAGCTCTGGCAGGGAGGGTGGAGAGGAGGCGTTCATGCCAACTCCTGGATCTCCAACATCTGTGATGGGGGGAGACTGGCCAGGTCTGAGACGCCAGTGAGGCACAGGAGGGCAGGGCTGGCAGGTTTGGATGCTGCAAAGGGATGTGAAAGAGCCCAGGTGAGGGAAGGGTCTAGCCAGCGCTAGAAGGGTCTGTCTCAGAAGGAAGGTGGGGCAATCTACTGCCATAGTGATACCGCCTCGGAAACCCAAGCAGGGGTTGCTATGAGTTGGATGCGACTTGATTGCAAATAACAAGAAGAAGGGTCCGTGGAGGTAGTTGACTTTTTTTTTGAGAAGGGCAAGAGGGCTGAGCAGTGAGGGGTCATGAGTCAGTGAGGCAGAAGACTGGACAACTAGTGCCCCTTTCTTGTAAAAGGAAGCAGAGAAGGAAAGGATGTTGGGGGATCCTTTTCTGATGGCTAGACTTGAGCAGATTTTCAGTGTGAAAGGAGAGGTGACTGAAGGAGCTTGAGGTGGCTTGGGGAGGCACGTAAGACCTGCCAACAGTTCAGGGGCTGAGGCTGCAGCTTAGAGGGAGAGGTGGGGCTGAGTGGCACTGGGGGGAGGGTGAGAACGAGTGCTGGAGGCCCTCAGAAGTAGGTGAAGTATGAGTAGGGGGCTACTGAGGGGAATGATAGGGATAGGGAAGTTGCTCGGGTGTTAGCAACAAGCAAGGGTGGGAAGATGGGGTTCTGACCACTCCCTAATCAAGATGTTCCCCTCTTGACTGAGGATGGAGAACCTGGACTTGGGCAGCTAGTCACCACTAGGATGGGTGGGGTGTTGATCCTTTAATCTACTTGAATCCTCGGAATCTTACGGACCGGGAAGGTTGGGAGTCAATTCCTGGGAAGGGTCGGGTGGGTGCTGGGATCAGAGGAGACTGGGGGCTCCAGTCGACATGTCTTCCGATCTGATGGGCACTGGATGGGTCCTGGGATGGACAGGACATCTGATAGGGACCAGGAAGATGCTGGCATTAATTATGGATCAACGGGGTAACAGATGGTATGCAGGTGGCTCTTGGAATGATAAGTGAGAAGGGTGGCCTCGGGAGCTCGATTCCGGGATCTCCGGTGATCCAGCAGAGTCCCAAACGTCTGCGGAACCACGTAGGATCGGGTGGGTCTAGGGTCGCGCGGGGTCCCGCTCACCGGTGTCGTGCAGGAAGAGCACCAGCGTGATCCCCCAGGTCAACACAGTGTGCCCGGTCCGCACCAGGACCCCAGGGCTGAAGAGCACCCAGGGCGCCATCGCCTCGGCCCGGGGCCCCACCCGGAAGAAGCGCCCAGAGGGGCGGATCCTATGAGGGAGAGGGGCCGCGGCCACTCGGGGATTGGAAGATCCTGAAGATAGGCGGGGCCGGATTGGGCGATGGAGGCTGCCTATTGGGTGGAATTTGCTGCCGACCTGGGCCCTGGAGCCAACAGGTGCTTGAGGGGGTTGAGGGCGGGGTCGGCGCGCGCGCAGGCAGTAACTCCTCCAACCCCAGCCCCCTCCAGCCAGGTAACTTGTGAGAGCCGAAGAGCAGGCGTTTGTCCCGGCCCCGCCCACAGCCTCGGGCATGCGTGAAGCTCTCTTCAGGCCAGCGAGTCTGAACGATCCGGATGATTGCGCTGTCTCCTGGATGCAGGATTGTGTCCATTTCAAAGGTGTAGTGACTGAGGCCTTGAGAGAGGCAGGATTCGCCCAATATTGCTTCGTGGTGACACACATTTTTGTCGTCGTTGAGTGCCTTCGCGTGGATTCTGACTCAGCGACCCTATGTAGTACAGAGGGAAACACTGCGCGATCCTGGGCCAACCTCACAGTCGTTGCTGTATTTGAGCCCATTGTTGCAGCCACTGTGTCATCTATCTCACTGAGAGTTTTCCTCTTTTTCTCTGACCCCGTACTTTACCAAGCATGATGTCCTCCAGGAACTAGTCCCACCTGATAACATGTCCAAAATATGTGAGATGAACTCTTGCCATCCTCACTTCTAAGGAGAACCCTGGCTGCACTTCTTCCAAGATATATTTGTTTGTTATTCTGGCAGTCTATGGTATATTCAATATTCTTTGCCAACACCATAATTCAAATGCATCAATTCTTTAGTTTTCTTTATTCATTATCCACCTTTTACATGCATGTGCGGAGACTGAAAATACCATGGCTTGGGTCAGGTGCACTTGAGTGCTCAAAATGTCATCTTTGCTTTTTAGCACTTTAAAGAGATCTTTTGCAGCGAATTTGACCGATAGTGTATGTAGTTTGATTTTTTTTTTTTTTTTCCCCAATTGTGGTTTGGGTAAAGGTTCACAGAGCAAATCAGTTTTCCATTCAACAATTTACACACTGTTTGTTTTGTAACATTAATTGCAATTTTTTCAACCTAATAGCACTCTTCCTGCTTCCTCTCTGAGTTCCCCTTTTCCGTTCATCGATCTTTCCTACCCCTTCCTGTCTTCTGAGCTTTGTTTTGGGGCAAATACTATGGATTTGTAACTTTTTATTTTCCTGAGGAACACGTTCCTCACGAGTGTTATTTCTTACCTCATATGCCTGTGTTGTTGCAAGGGGATCCCAGGGAATGGGTTCCGTTCCAGGTTTGAAGAGTGTCTAATGGCCACAGTCTTGGACGTTCCACCAATCTCTCAGACCATTGTTTTGATCCTTTAATGATGCTCTAACAGAAATACCACAAAAGGGTGGTTTTAACAGATAGGGATTTATTCTTGTACAGTTTAGGAGGCTAAAAGTCCGAGTTCAAGGTGTAAGCTCTAGGGACTGAGTGAAAGCCCCTTGACCTTGGGCTTCAGCTCTGCCTCTTGCTCCTGGCCCACTGAAGCTGGAGGCTTTTCTTAGGCAGCTGCTGGCTGCTGAGGCTGACAAACCCAAGCTGACAGATAAAATGGCACAATCCCAAGATTACCAAACAACATGGCAGGCCATTAGTTCAAGTCCGGAGACAGTCCCAAGACCGACAGGAAACGTGGCAGGTGGCTAAATGAATACTTGGCTACCTGCAGTTTCCAAGCATACCAAAAAACTCAGAGACCTTTCCCAAAGCTGCCTTCTTTTATACAGGAAGCAGACCACATCCCCAAGGCAGCTACTCCGCGGCTCCAGTAGACTCTACCACGGAGTTGATTGCCAGTTTCATCATGGGGAATACATGTAGAGCTCACTGGATGGAATACACAAGAATCAAATTGACTAGAGAAGATGGAGAAGCTCAATACCATCCAGCCGCCCAGCTGAGATGACACACAACTAACCACCACAAACCAGTTAAGTCTGGTCTTTTTTATGATTCTGCATTTTGATCCATATTTTTCTTCCATTTTGTCCAGGATCTGTCATTTGATTTCTTGACTGCTGCTTCTATAGGTGTTGATTGTAGATTCAAGTAAAATGGAATCTTTGACAACTTCAATATTTTCTCCATTTATCATGATTTTACTTAATGATCCAATTTTGAAGATTTTTGTTTTAAGTTGGGGTGCAATCCATACTGAAGACTGTAGTCTTTGACCTTTATCAGTAAGTGCTTCAAGTCCTCTTTGCTTTCAGCGTGTAAGGTCATCTGCATATCACAGGTTGTTAATGAATCTTCCTCCAATCCTGATGCCATGTTCTTCTTCATGTAGTCCAGCTTCTCGAATTATTTGCTCAGCATGCAGACTGAGTAAGTATGGTGAACGGATACAGCTTTGCTGCACATCTTTCCTGATTTTAAACCATGCAGGATCCCCTTGTTCTGTTCAAATCACTGCCTCTTGGTCTATGTACAGGTTCCTCATGCGGACAATTAAAATGTTCTGGTATTGCCATTCTTCTCAGTGTTTTCCATAATTTGTTATGATCCACAGAGTCAAATGCCTTTGCATAGTCAAAACACAGGTAAACATCTTTCTGGTATTCTCTGCTTTGAGTCAAGATCCATCTGCCGTCAGCAATGATATCCCTCATTCTACATCCTCTTTTGAATCCAGCTTGAATTTCTGGCAGTTTTCTTGATAGACTGCTGTAACTGTTTTTGATACCCTTACCTGTTTGCTATTCATAGTCAGATATTGCAAGCAGAATCAGAGCAGAGTGGAGGTCTGTGGTACACTGATTCTGGCTAGAGGGGCGCCAACTTGGTTCAGAGTCAGAAATACCAGCACCTTCTGTTCCTATCTGTGCAACATTGAGCAAGTTATGGAATCCATCTGAGCTCTATTTTTGTTTCTATATAACGAGGATGATGACAGTACCCAGCTACTAAGATTGAAGATTTGTACCAACTCCTGGGGTCTGAAATTGATCAAACATGCAATCAAGATGCATTATTGATTATTGGTGATTAGAATGTGAAAGATGGAAACAAAGAAGGAGGATCACCCATTGGAAATGACAGCCTTGGTGATAGAAGTGACACTGGAGATGGCATGATGGAATCTTTCAAGACCAACAACATGTTCATTGCAAATACTTTTTTCAACAACATAAATGGCAACTATACATGTAGAGCTCACTGGATGGAATACACAAGAATCAAATCGACTAGAGGAGATGGAGAAGTTCAATATCATGAATCAGAACAAGGTCAATGGCTGACGGTGGAACAGACCACCAATTTCTCATAGGCAAGTTCAAGTTGAAGCTGAAGAAAATTAAAACAAGTCCACAAGAGTCAAAATACAACCTTGGTAACTATGGAGAGGAAGTGGGAGGGGAGCTGTTGCATTGTGGGAAATTGTAGTCAATGTCATGAGACAAAATATATGTGAGCCACTGTATGGAAAGTGAATTTGCTCTGTAAACTTTCACCCAAATAACAAAAAAAAAAAAAAAAAAATTCATTGCCCCACCCAAATACAACCTTGAGTATTTCCCACCTGAATTTAGAGACCATCTGAAGAGTAGATTTGATGCACTGAACACTAATGACCAAAGACTAAGTGAGTTATGGGATGACATCAAGGACATCATACATGAAGAAAGCAAAGGTCATTAAGAAGATAGGTAAAAAAGAAAAGACTGGAATGCATGAGAGAAGAAAACTTGCTTTTGAATATGCAATAGCTAAAGTGAATGGAAGAAATAATGAAGTAAAAGAGCTGGAGAGAAGATTTCCAAGGGTGGCTTAAGAAAGCAAAATAATGTATTATAATGAAATGTGCAGACCTGGAGGTAGAAAATCAGTGGAGAATAACACACTTGGCATTTCTCAAGCTGAAAGAATAGGAGGAAAAAATTCAAACCTTGGATTGCAATATTGAAGGATTCTATGGGGAAAATATTGAATGATACAGGAAACATCAAAAGAAGATGGAAGGAATACACAGAATCACTCTACCAAAAAGAACTAGTCAATGTCCAACCACTTCAGGAGGTAGCATATGATCAAGGACCAATGGTACTGAAGGAAGAAGTCCAAGATGTACTGAAGGAACTGGTTAAAAACGAGGCTCTAGGGAATCGACAGAATACCAACTGAAATGTTTCAGGAAACAGATGCAGTGCTGGAAGAGCTCACTTGGCTATGCCAAGACATTTGGAAGACAGCTACCTGGCCAACCGACTGGAAGAGATCCATATTTGTGCCCATTCAAAAGAAAGGTGATCCAACAGAATGCAGAAATTTTCAAACAATATCATTAGTAAAATTTTGCAGAAGATAATGCAATAATGGTTGTGGTAGCACATTGACAGAGAACTACCAGAAAAGCTGGATTCAGAAGAGGACGTGGAATGAGGAATGTCATTGTCGATGTCAGATGGGTCTTGGATGAAAACAAAGAATACCAGAAAGATGTTTACCTGTTTTATTGACTATACAAAGGCCTTAGACTATGTGGATCATAATAAATTATGGATAACATTGGGAAGAATGGTAATTCCAGAACACTTAATTGTGCTCATGTGGTAATAGACCAAGAGGCAGTGATTTGAACAGAACAAGGGGATACTGTATGGTTTAAAATCAGGAAAGGTATGCTTCAGGGTTGTATCCTCTTACTGTATTTACTTAATCTGTATGTTGAGCAAATAATCTGAGAAACTGGACTATATGAAGAAGAACATGTCATCAGGATTGGAGGAAGACTCATTAACAACTTGCAATAAGCAGATGACACAACCTTGCTTGCTGAAAGCAAAGAGGGCTTGAAGCACTTACTGATGAAGATCAAAGACTGCAGACTTCTGTATGGATTACACCTCAACATAAAGAAAATAAAATTCCTCACAATTGGACCAAGAAACCACATCATGATAAATGGAAGAAATATTGAAGTTGTCAAGGATTTAA